AACACCCTTTTGGGTTGTGTCAGAAGAAGTAGGAATGGCTTTTGAAACTGGACTTTCCCTTTTGTTTGTTTTCTTGGAGGGAGAGTTTTTTGAAAAGTAGTGTGAGAAAACAAATTTTTCTGGACTCTTGGACTTTGAAATTCTTACATGCTTCTTATTTTTTGAAAAAGTGTGTCTATTTGTGCCTCGAGATCTAATTTCCTCTTTGAAGGCCTTTTTGGCCAAGGATTTTGGTGAACCGCAGTCATTGTTGTTCAACTGCGGTTTCCTGGAATTCTTAGAATGATTTGGAAAACGTGGGCTTGAGTCATTTGAACTTGAAGGTTCTGGGGTCTGTGAGCATTGACCCACCTCAAAGTTCTCTATAGGTAATTCATGATGAATCGCCTGAAGGGTCACGGTTCCTTTTACTGAGGACTGCGATAGTGAAGATTTGACTACTGCAGAGTAAGTCTTAGTTGGGACTTCAGTGGGACTCTTGAGGGACTTTTGACTATAGTGTGAGACACTGCGGTCTGAGGGCAGAGATGGAAAGTCTTTTGAGACTTCGGGGCCCTCAATGACAATTTCTTCATCAACTACATATGAGGTTTGAGGATTTGGGTAAATGGTGCCACAGATAGGAATTTGATCACTTGTGTGACCCAAAACCTCAGGCACAATTTCCTCAATGACACAATTATTGCTTAGATTATGGAGTCTACCGAAGTGAGTTTTGATGTCTTCGGGGAAGGTCTTGTCATTGACTGGGAAATGAAATTCTCGGTCTGGAGGGACATACAGTCTGTCTTTGTTGAACCGGGGTGAGGAATCCATTGCGGTAGAATATCCATTTGACCAACCCCAATTGTATGCATTGTCCACAGTGCCATTATTTACCAAATTTTCAATAGCTTCACTTTCATTGAACAATTTTTTGATTAAAAGATTTAAGCGTACAATTTCACTATGAGCTAAATCTTTCTAGTTCAAAGCTATCTCTAATTGTGTTTCACTCAGCATTCTTGCATCTTTCTCTAACTCTAAGTCTTTTTCTAACATAGCCATTTTGAGTCTTTTGTTATCCAGGCGTCCTCTCACATGGAACATTTCTTAGGACGCAATGTTCTTCTCATCTAAGGCTTTGGTATAGTCTGTAAGGACGGCAACACAAGTGTCATTAAGATCATCTATGTATGGTTGACAGTCATGCATGCTATAGTTTAGAGTTTGGATCATGAGTTTTACCTGTCGACGATGCTTAGAGTTCCATCCTTTGCCATGTAGCAGTAGTTCTTTTCCAGCTTTGTAGACTCATCATCATCCGCAGTTGGCAGCATGCAAATTTTCCCTTTTCCTTTGACACTGCTGATGGCTTCATCTTCATCTCCGGATGACCAAACTTGATGGTCTCTTTTGACATGGGCTACGTATGCCCTTGCCTTTTCCTTATCTTCCAACTCTTGAGCCATTATAAGATAGAATGCTCTGTCTTTTACTACATTGGCCTTACAATCTCTTGCAAAGTGATTCTCTTTGTTGCATTTGTGATAAATCACAATATCAGTCTTGTCTTCAGAGGTAGTACCGGAGTCAGTGGTTGGAGTAGACTGCGGTACGTCCTTTCGTTGAGTATTTTGAGATTGCGGTAGTGGATGAGAACCTTTTGGATAACGAGAATTATTATTCTGTGGACTGAGGTTACGGTTGAATGGAGGTTTGTTGAAATGTTGATTCTTGCGGTAGGAAGGAGGTGGTAGAAGGTTGAAATATTGTCTAACCAGAGCAATAGCCTTCTGAAATTCTTCTTCATCATCATACTCTGAATCTGCATCGTATGACTGCGGTGGAGTGTCATACGAGGAAGAGTAGGATGACTGCGGTGGGGCATGTGCTATGAGAGCAAGTGGTCCTTCGAAGTCAGCACAGTCTTTGAGTACGGTGGATTCTTGCGCTTGCAACTCTCCATAGAGCTTGTAGAGTGACAAAGAGTGAATCTTTCTATCGCCCTGGACTATCATCTTAGCCGTAGTCCAATGTCTTCCCAAACCATTAAGAAACTGAAGATTTGTTTCATGGTTACTGCGGATGGTGCCCGCATTAGATAACTTGGTGACTATCAGGTTGAACCTTTTGAAGGAATCTTCCAAGCTTTCACCGGTATGAGCTTTGAAGTTGTTGAACTCATTGAGTGCGGTAGTAAGTTTCTTATCTTGTGCTTGTTCTGAGCCTTCGTACAGATTCTTGAGAACTTCCCAGATCTCTTTTGCTGATTTGCAATTTATGATAATATCGAAGTTGTCAAGAGCAACTCCACAGGAGATTTCATAAAAAGCAACAACATCATTTTCCATTTTATCGAGATCATCCTTGGTGGGACAGCTCATGACTGGTTGTCCTCCTCCTAGTCTGGTTGTAGCGCCGTCAGTTTGGACTGGTGTAAGGACTGGGACATGAGGTCCTTCTTCTACGGATCGCCATACATCTCTACCAAGTCTCCTTAAGTATCTTTCCATTCTTTGTGATCAGTGATGATATTCATTTGCTACCAGTATTGGGGCTCGGTTAGAACCACCAACACTGTTGGAAACGTTCAGAGATAAAGATTGTGCCATTTGAAATTGTTTTTTTTAAGAAATGAGCTTTAGTGGTATAGAAGGCCCTTTGAAAATCAGAGTTCCCTTTTCAAAAAGCAACCACTATGGCTCTGATACCAATTGTTGAGAGAAAAACTTAGAGATACACTTGAACAAACGTTAGAACAAGTAGTATTGCGGAACAGTTAATCTCGAAGGATCTAAAAGCTCAACAATAATGTTAATAAGTTAGAGAGTTAGTTGCGGAAAAGTAAAGTAATAGAAATGACAGCAATAATTATATCAAGTATACACTTAAGTTGATTCATAACATGGAATGCATTCAAACCATGTTAATAAGTAAGATCAAACTTAGTGATTAAGTCACAGAAGACTTGCTCCGGAGAGAGGTTATAATCAGTTATGTTCTAGTAAGAATTGAGAGTAAGAAGTGATGCGTTAGATAGAGGGATAGAAAAGATAACTTCAGAGAAGTGTATTCAGAATAGATAGATGCGTGTAAGTGTTTTGAATACAAAGAGAATGAGTTCTATTTATAGAGACTCACGATGTACACTAGATTACCTCTCTAAGAGTAGCCATGCAAGGCATACTGGACAAAAGAGAGTGTTACAATAAAAGACAAAGTAATATAGTTAAGTGACTGCGGTAGGAAGAGACTCCGGTTGCGGTTGCTGATGAAGAAGTTGACTGCGGGTGCTGGATGGCTGCAGTAGCTGAAGAGGTTGCGGTGGCTGAAGTTCAAGAGGGTCACTTTTTATGATTCAACACTGACCCTTCAGGTGTTTCAGTTGATGAAAAGAAGTACCGCGAAATGATTGGAGCTTTGCTCTATCTCACAGCAAGTCGTCCGGACATCATGTTTTCCACATGTTTGTGTGCCAGATTTCAAGTCAACGCAAAGATGTCTCATCTCTTGGCTGTGAAACAAATTTTCCGATACCTCAAAGGTACAAAGAGTCTCAGAATCTGGTACCCAGCAAACGAGAGCTTCCTACTTCAAGCCTATTCAGATTCAAACTATGGTGGTCTTCAACTTGATAGAAAAAGCACTTCAGGTGGCTATCAATTCTTAGGTGGTCATTTGGTCAGTTGGTCATCCAAGAAACAGAACTGCATTGCACTCTCTACAGCCGAAGCCGAATACATCGCTGCTGCCAGCTATACATCTCAGGTTCTGTGGATGAAATCTCAACTCTTGGATTATGGTTACCGCTTTCAACGCATTCCTATCTATTGTGATTTTCAAAGTGCCATTGCGATTTCCCACAATCTAATTTAGCACTCAATGACTAAGCACATTGATATAAGGTAGACCTGGCAATTTTATACACGACACAATTTACACGACACGAAGACGATACAAGTTTTCCGTGTATGTGTTTTAGAAATTCGTGTTTCGTGTTTATTCGTGTCTGACACGTATTTTAAATTCGTGTTTCGTGTCTTACACGTGTCAAACACGAATTTACCTGTTTAGACACGTATAAGACACGATACAAATTCGTGTTGACACGTGACACGTATAAACACATATAAACACGTATAAACACATATATATTTTAGGGTAAAATTTTATATTTATAAAATACTAGGGACTGATTGCGTAAAAGTTAATATGTAGTTTATAACCCTAAATTGAATCCTAAATTGAACCGTTTCCAAAATCGCCGACATCTATGATCTATCTCAATTTCGTTTGTCGACTATTCGACTCATTTATCTGAGTTCGTCATCTCACGCGAATCAGGATCATCGGACATATACAAATCGTCGCTTGCCATCTATCACGATCGTCGGACGAGTCGTCCCACATCTTCGTGCTTCACAACTTTCACTGCTTCTCCAATCTCCGGTCCTTCAACCTCTCACCGAGTCATCACTCGCCATCGGTGCTTCTGAAGTGAAATCGAAGCTGCTCACTGATTCTCGACTTCTCGTCAGTCGCCACGGTCTCTCAATTCCGTCACCATAGCTTCTTCTGAGTTTATGGCTTCTAATACAAACATGGTATATAATCTATTCCTTTGTGATTTTCTGTTTATTTTTTTGTTTCCTTTGAATCTTTGATCACAGGTTCACAGCCCCTCTTGCGATTTTTCTATTTATTTTTTTGTCTCCTTTGATCACGTATTGACTATTTAAACTGTTAACTGTTAAGACCATAGGATGTTAACTCTTAGCTGTTAAGACCATAGGATGTTAACTGTTAAGAACTGTGGATGTTAAGACCATAAGATGGTTGGCTGTTTGTAACTCTTTTAGGCATGGTATATAATCTTTTCCTTTGTAGGCTTTTGTTTCTAGTTGACTCAAAGTCTCAAACTGGAAGACAAGGCCCCTATAAATCTGTTTGTAACTCTTTTAGGCATGGTTGGCTGTTTTGTTTCCTTTATCAGTTTGTCTAATTCTTGTTTTTTTTAGATGGATGACAATACTAACAATGATACTAAGGATGATTCAAATGATGATTGTATGGAGGTAAAGAAGGAGGGAGAAGACAATCAGAAAATGAAAGGAACCCGTAAGAGGGAGAAGAAACAAACCTCACCGGTATGGCATGTATTCGAGTTATTAAATGATGTTGTCACAAAAGATGGAATTAAGAGAGCAAAATGCAGATGGTGTGATGAGGTGACGAAGTATGACAGTAGATATGGAACCGGGAACTTACAACGACATATAAATAAATGTTATAGGCCGGATAAGCTTATTGTAGGTCAAATGTTATTGGGGAAGGATAAAGATTCTTTGATGTTGAAGTCCTCAAAATTCAGCAAAGATATATTTCGTGAGAAGTTAGTAAGAGCAATTGTCATGCACAACTTACCATTATCATTTGTGGACTATAGTGGTATTAAAGAATTGTTTGAATATGTGTCGGAAGATTTGAATTTAATATGTCGAAACACTGTGAGATCTGATATTGTGAATATGCACAAGAAAGAAATGAACAAGTTAAAATCGTTTCTAAAGGAAGTACCGGGCCGTATTTGCTTAACTTCTGATTTGTGGACTTCTATTACTACTGATGGGTACATTAGCCTTACAGCTCATTTCATTGATGAAAATTGGATTTTGCAGAAAAGATTGTTGAATTTTTCTGATATGCCACCTCCCCACAATGGAATTTCATTGAGTGAAAAAGGTTACTCTATGCTTGCGGATTGGGGAATAGAAGGTAAGTTGTTTTCCATAACATTAGACAATGCTTCCTCGAATGACACTTTCGTTAATATCTTGAAGTTGCAATTGAATGTTAGGAAAGCACTTATTAAAGATGGTCAATTTTTTCATATAAGATGTTGTGCTCACATTCTAAATTTGATAGTTCAAGATGGGTTGAAAGAGATGATGGTTGTGTTTCTAAAGTAAGAGAAAGTGTGAAGTATGTCAAAGCATCTCAAGCTCGCAAACGACAATTTGTGGATTGTGTGAAGTTAGTTAGTTTGGATCCAAAACGTGGGTTAAGACAAGATGTTCCAACAAGGTGGAATTCCACATATCTCATGCTTCGAAGTGCACTTTACTTTCGTACGACCTTTACTCATTTGGAAGCAAGTGATTCAAATTATATATTTTGTCCAACTAATGACGAGTGGGATAGGATTGAAGCCCATAGCAAATTTTTATGTAGTTTCTATGACATTACTTATGTATTTTCTGGGTCAAAATATCCTACATCTAACTTGTATTTTCCTTCAGTTTTAATGGCCCGTTTGACCTTGGAGAAACATAGGGACAACAATGATGCAAGACTTAAAAAATGGCTGATTTGATGTTTGCAAAGTTTGAGAAATATTGGTCCGAGTTTAGCTTGATTTTGGCTCTAGCTGTGGTTTTTGATCCTCGATACAAGTTGCAAACTGTGGAATGGGGCTACACTAAGATTTATGGAGAGAAATCAAGTCAATTTGAAGAAGTGAAAGATACTTTATCGTCTCTTTTTGATATTTATTGTAGTAATTCTGCAATGAGAAACAATAATGGCTCAACTTTGAATAATGTGAATGAGCCTAACGAAAGCTTGGATGAAATTGGTAGCGGTATAAATGTCAATGGAGCTTGGAAGGTACAAATTTTTGTTTAATATTTATTTTACATTCAATAATTTATTCGTCAAATGAAAACCGAAAAGCTGAAATCTGAAAACCGAAAGCTGAAATCTGAAAAATGAAAACTGTTTTGTTTTTAGTATGAAAAATAAAAACTGTTTTTTTTATTATGAAAAATAAAAACTGATTTTTTTATTATGAAAAATGAAAACTGTTTTTTTTATGAAAAATGAAAACTATTTTTTATTATAAAAAATGAAAACTGTTTTTTTTTATTATGAAAAATGAAAACTGGAAAATGAAAACTGTTTTTTTTATTATTTTTTATCATAGTTATTCAAGATTTTTAATGTTCTCACTTCTCATTTTATTAATAGGAGTTCGACTCGTTTAATTACGAGTATGTTGTTTCAACTAAAAAGTCCGAACTTGACTTATATTTGGAGGAGCCCCGGATGCCAAGAACAACAGAGATAAATATTTTGGAATATTGGAGAGGACATTAGGTTCGATATCCCGATCTTACCGCTATGGCACGAGATATATTGACTATTCCCGTTTCCACTATAGCTTCCGAGTCTGCATTTAGTGTTGGAGGTAAAGTTCTTGATCAATATCGAAGCTCCCTCAAATCCGATGTTACGGAAGCAATTATTTGTACCAAAGATTGGTTATTCGGAGAAGCTAATTATAATGTTGGTGATGTAGTGAACGAAGTTGTCAGTTTGGATGTCAATGAGGAGCCTAATTCGTTTAAAAGTTCAACCTCTTACACGGTTGATAGTTAGTAATTTAGTAATTTACTTGTTTTAAAATATTTTGGGATTGTAATTTTGAGTTTGAACTTTGTACTTTGGATTAAGATTATTTGCATGTTATTGTCATCCTAGCTTAAAAAATGCATTAAAAGCGTGTTTATTCGTGTTTATTCGTGTTTTCGTGTAACACGGTTAAAAAACGTGTATATTCGTGTCGTGTCACGTGTCACACAAATTTTTTATGTGTCGTGTTCGTGTTTGATATCCCAAACACGTTTTATAATTCGTGTCGTGTTCGTGTTTACCAAATTCGTGTCGTGTAAATTCGTGTCTGACACGAATACACGACACGCATACACGGATGGCCAGGTCTAATATAAGGTACCATTTCATAAAAGATCATGTTCTAAATGGTAACATTGAACTCATTTTTGTTCCCTCTGACGATGAGATTGCTGATGTCTTTACTAAGGCATTAGACGAAACCAAATTCAATGGTTTTCTAAACCAGATGGGTATGATGATACCAGATCCTCAATTCTTTCAAGAGATTTCTTCTCTTTGATAGACGTATTCGAAAGAAAATTAGTTCCGATCTCAAAACCTTTTTTCATCTCGGAACTACTTTCTCTCGGAATACATAGGATCCTTTTACTTGTCTTTATTTCTGACCATCACTTGAGTTTTTAAGCTGTACAGTTCATCCTGATTATTTGTTATTTAAAGTCCACATTGTCATAGTGCTCGAATTTTCATCTTGGAATATACTTCATAATGGCATCCCAGAATTCCACTCCGGAAGTTTTCTCAAATTTCACTCCGGAATGCTTTACAAATCATGTTCCGAAAACTTTTTTCAAATCTTACTCCGGAATGCTTTCAAAATCATGTTCCGAAAACTTTTTTCAAATCTCACTCCGGAATGCTTTCAAAATCATATTCTAGAAACTTGTTCAAATTCACTTCGGAAATTCTTGTAAATCATTATTCCTGAATTTTTGCTCCGGAATCACAAACCTTTTCCGGAATCGCACTGAATTTTTGTTCCGGAATCACAAACCTTTTCCGAAATCGCACTTAAAATTTTTTTTACTCCGGAATCGAAACTCTTTCCGGATTTTGACTCCGGAATCGAAACTCTCTCCAGATTATTTCCCATTCCGGACCATTATTCAAAACAACTATGTTCCGGAGCACAACTCTTTATCCTCCGGATCATACACTATCCGGAACCGCTCATCCGGAATTCCAATGGTCTTTAAGGAGAAACGTTTTTTTAACGGTTACTTTTAAGAGGATCCTTATCCTATCTTCCTCGAATTTTGTGACACGATTGCACGCCTCCATAAAGCAACCATCGAATCGCCGTTTAGGGTTTTCCATTTCAAGCTACAAACAACCTAACTTCCCCTCCCAGGTCAACTCAACCCCCAAAAGCAGTTATTCATTTAATGCAACCCGTTTCACTTTCAGACCCTCATCCTTATCCCGACTGACTCGAACCACTTCCCTTACCTATAAATACCCATCGATAACCCCTTTTACCTCTTTACGCGCCCAATCCTTCCAAAACCCTTAAATTCTCTCTGTGTTCTTCGTGTTCATCAAGCACTCATCACTCTGCAACAATGGCTTCCCAATCTTCACCACAGAAAACTGCTCCAACCGCCTCAACTCCCAAGAAGTCCATTGCAAAGAAGAAACGCTCAAAAGGTTCATCATTATCAACATCCCCTGAACCGTTTCTCAGAGACACGACACAACTGTTTTCCCTAAATCCTGAAGATTACAATGAATTTGTTCGTGTTATGATCGAGTTCATAGCAAATCATCCAATCTCTGTTCCTCTCACTAAAGTTCCCGAACCACCTCTTCCACTTCATCATCTTCACAGAGCATTCATAAGCATTAAACTTGATGAAGGTGTGTTGCAGACTAAGATCATCGGTGATAGGATTGTGCCTATCTTCAAGTCCACTTTTCTCAAAGCAATCGGTGTGAAAGAAAACCCCCAGGGTTTCAGAGTTCAAGAGCCTACCACTGAAGAGTTTCAGACGTTCCTAACTCATATTGACAACAATCAAGACTACAGGGCCAAAGACTTCAAGAAATCAGCCGTCTCCAGACTATGGACGGTGCTGATGCACTTCATCATTCGAGGGCTGTCCGGCAAGCACGGAGGTACGGACGCTCTCAACAAGGACCGGATATACGTGGTTTACAACATCTTTTCCGGACGCACAAATGCAGTTGATCTTCCGGAGGTTCTATGGCAAGATTTCTCCAAAATTATCATCAAGAGGAAGGATAATGAAATTTCAAGCCCTAGGTTCTGGGCACTGACGATTCAAAAACTCTTCAAGGAGCTTTCCGAACCACTTCCTGTTTCCGTAATTCCTCCGGAGGTATGTGTCTCCTTTAAAGTTGTCAAAGCTTATAGAATTCAGGACCAATCATCATTTGGTCCTGTTAGACGACTTCCGGACCATATGTCGGCCTCCATACCTTCGGAATCCATTTATTTGAAACATCATCTGGAGACTTCGGTTGTGTTTGACCCAACACAACCTGCCCCAGTCTCCGTTGAGCCTGTTTCGGAAAAGGCCAAACCTTCCGTGTCTGGATCAAAGATTAAGAAATCTGCCAAACGGAAGAATTCTCCCACAAAGCCAAAGCCTCAAAAGAGGACCAAAGTCAGCTCTTCCTCTCCAAAGGAAGATGCTCATGACATTCAGGCTGACTCTGGCTGTCCGAACACCCCACCAACTCACTCATCTGAGGTACCCTCAATGTTTCAACATCACATGCACACACTCACAGGGAGTCTCCACATAATCCACCCTCACCTTCTCAAAAAGGTGATGCCGGTGTTGACCATAGTTCCTTGCACCCCTTGGAACACACCCACGAGTCTCATTTGATATCCCTCTCGTTTCTCTCTCACACACACACACTCCAGAACCCCTGTTCGGACCCTAAACATTCCGGAGCTGGAGCAGTCCTTCCGACTTCGGATGCCTCAACTGGTCTGATACCCGGAAGGTGTACAGGACGACCAGGTGCTAACGATCCCAAATGGGAAGATTATGTAAACAGGGTTGTTTCCAGACGTTCGGATCTGACAAGAGCTCAAGTGGAGGCCACTCTTACTTCAATGTACAACAGAGCTCTTCAAAGCAATCTTCCGTATGTTCCTCCTACAGATGATAATGCTGATAGGGAGGTAGCTTCGGAAAAACCACCAATGAACACTCACACCAACGTATTCCAAACTGATCTGGATGAAGAATTCTCCGAAGAAATAATGCTCACTGATGAAGGCAATTTTGTTCCGGATCCTAACTTCATGTCGTCCATCCGCCTTCAATCTAAACCATCAACCCCCAAGTCTGCTTTTGACTTCGGATCATCTTCTTCAACCACTCCGGATGGTGGATCCAACTCCAAGCTACATGAATGTGATGCCACCACTATGCCTGGTCCATCCACAAATACTTCTTCACGTCAAGATAAGCCGCAACATTCAGACTCTGACTCCAAATCCTCAGTTGGTGATTACATT